AGGGTCATGTTAGACGTAGCCATGAGATTAACTAGCACACAAGAGAACCACATCCAGTTGTAGATTCTGGGGTGGATGTGTGGGACAAACCCTGTGGAAATACTAACCCTACTAGGTAGATGAAGAGTTGAAGGGGTGATGGAGTAAACTAGGTGTGAGCAAGGAGCATGCCTTCACTTAGGTAAAGCAACCAATAACAGTCTGGACTGGTCAAGGCAGCAGCACTCTAATGTGCATCCTGAATAGAGTGAGAGGTGGGCAGGACTACAATATTCACCAGCGTATACAAGGCCAAACAGAAGGCCAGACTTCGCATGGCACTGGCCTAGAACCCAAAGGCACTTATGGGAACTGGTTCTGGGAGTGAATTAAGTGGAGGAACTTGGGAAACTCCCCTGATGAGTCATAGCTCCCACTGGTGAACCTGTGGGTCAGAACGGCGGGTTGGAAAAGCTGGGCAAAGTAGCTCCAGTGGCTGGCTAATGTGTGGATTGGTAATGGAATGGAGTGGACTGGGCAGAATTGAGTAAACCTTAGCCCACAAGTGAAACTAGAAACCAGCATAGAGCACAGGTTATGCTAAGCTAGAATCTTTCACCTATTGGTCTGCTTGAGCCAGAACGCTAAACCACAGTGTCTATGGCAGAAACCGGGACAAGAGAAAAGCTGAGCCAAGCAGTGTCAGAGCAACCACTGGCATGCATGTAATCTATGGCTGGGAACAGGCCTGGTTGTGGAGTCAAGGAGACACCCTAACTGGGTTGAGGTTCCCACTAAGGAGGATTGTGTTGGAATGCGGGCTGTGTTCAGGATATGGTTGTAGTTTCCTTTGGCACAAGAACTGGGACTGGATGCACCAAGCAGGGCTAGACTCCAACACTGTCTTGTGCTCTGGAGGACCAGGGTAGATGTGGGATGCACTGGGTCTCAACCACTGCTGAGCCATGTGTGAGCTGTATGTGGATATTGACAACCCGTGGCTGGGTTGAAGCATCAAACAGTAAGATCCAGGTTGTGTTGAAGAATAGTCAGCAAAAGCCACTGTTCCTGTTAGGACAGGAGGCGAAATGAGTAGTGCTGGCCCATGAACCCACTGGCATGCCCAAAATCTGGCATTGGCAGGGGTTCTGATGGAGGAGCTTGGGCAAATCCTCTGACAAGACACAGACCAGGCAGGTAAGTGCAAAAAGCATGATAGGAAACAGCCCAGAACAGGCCACAGAAGGTTACCCACTGGCATACATTTGGCATGGGTCGGAACAGACCAGGCGGAATCAGTTCATGTCATCCACTGGCAAATCCAAGCATCAGAGTGGGGTGTGGGTCGAGCCAGGTTCAGTCACGAGAAAAAAAAAAAAAAAAACAAAACAGTGCACATTACAGAATGGCAAGGTGAGGCTGCCATTGTGTGAACACAGCACCCAAGAAGCACGGGTGAGAACCAGGAATGGAAGGAGCAGAGTGGGCAGGAGGAATAAGAGCGTGTGTTCACTTGCTGCACAGCTCCTCCCGCAGGAGAGCATGAGCTGCGAAGGAAGCAGACCAGACAAGGCAGGGTTACAACACCTGTTTGTCTCATGTGCCCTAGATCAGGCAAATGCCAAGATGGACTGATTGTTCCTGCTGGTGAAAAAAAAATATGAGTGGGTGAGGATTGTTTGGGCTTAGCCACAGCATCAGCTGGCAGAAGCTGGCTGGGGACTGATTCTGTCAAGTTACACTGCAGAAACACCTGGAGAGTGCATAATCTGGGAATAGGAGTGGCCTAGAAAGTAAATAGTGGGATACTCCCTATTGGTTTGCCTCTACCACAGGAGAGCATGGAAACTAGGAGAGGGGTTGGGGTGGCTAGACAGAAAGGCACCCAACAATATTGGTGTGGGCTAGATAGTGGAGCTAGTTAGATGGAATTAGGTTTCAATGTCCATTGACATGTATGGGAGCTGAATGGGATGTGAGACAGAATGGACTAGTCTGCTGTACATACTGGCAAATCAGGGAAGGGGGTAGGCCTGGTGGTTGACTAGAACTAGGCTGCAGCTCTCACTGGCTTACGTGAGGGCCGAGTATGTGCTTGGCAGAAACAGGCTGTATTGCAACACCGATTGGTTCCAGTGGAAGTCGGGGCTGGTAAAAGAACCAACCCAGCAATTGCAATCACTAGCTAAGTGGAGCGATGGACTGTGCCGGGCCCTGTATTTCCTAGTAAATACAAGAATCTGGTCTGAAAACACCTCAGACAAAGTTTGTTTGGTGATATTCCCCAATGGAACTGCTGGACTCAGAATCCTAACCATGAAGAGATAGAGGGCAGAACAAGTGTATCAACCACTTCAGCCATATGTTGGCAGTGAAAAACAGGGCAAACAGAGACTCTTAAGATGGATTGTGTCAATCAGTGGATTCTTCAACAATCTCATTGTGCTTGGAGTGGGAGACTAGCAGCGATTCATAACCAGTGAACTATCACAACCCCTCGAGCAAGAATCTCAGAGCATGCTCCACATCTGTGACCTGGGGTAGGTGGGAAATTGGGTTGGGCTTCACCCTTATAACCCCCTTTTCCTCAGATTCATGAAGGAAAAAATGCAGAAATAAAAGCATTAACCACTTTGCTGAAATTTCCTTGTACTTTTTTCTCTAATTAACTATGTAAAGATTTCCAAAAATATAATAAAAAGTGAAAAATAAAAATAGAACTAAAATATAGAGCTGAGAGATTAATACATAATTTATGCTGTGCATGACTGAAATTGCTTCCAGGCTTCCTAACATTTTTCCAATGTTCCTATAACATTTTCAATACATTTATATTCCCCAGGTGAAGTATTTAATAGGTTAACATTGTGGCCTCTTAAATTTAGATTTGTACTCTTGTAAGGTGGCATTTAATCTTTCATATATATTAAAAATCATGAAAAAATGTTTATGAGAAATTCTATTGTCATTGTTTCTTGAAAACCACTGACAAAATCAGTAATACAGTTAAGATTTCAAAAAAAGAAAAAAAACAAAAATCAATACCTCAAGGATTTTTGTGCATGCTGGTATTTAAGACATTGTTGCCTATATTCAGATATCAGCACACTTTCTATTCTACCAAATTGAGGACTTGTTGGCTATCCCACCAAGAGTGAATAATCCAGCCATCACAATCATGGGAATAATCTACTCCAAATGAAACCAGGGCATGGAAGGCTTACTTTTAATATCGTGTAATTAGCAAATCAATTCACATGAACTAAGACAGAGATCCTGGAAGTCAATCAATAGTTAAGTGTATGTAAAAATTGTGATTTTTATCCACTATAAAATATTACAAACTCATAAATATGACAACTGGGGTTTGTGCAGCAAGGAAGAAGGCTAATCCTTTGACTGTAGTGCTGGCCTCCCATATGCACAGTAGTCTACTCCTGGCTGCTCCATTTCCAATGTAACTCCCTGATTTGGGCCTGGGAAGCAGCAGGGGCTAGACGTAATACTTTTGGTCCCTGCCCCCATGTGGGAAGTCTGTAAAAAGTTCCTGATGACTGTATATTGGTATCAGTTCTGACCCTTATCACTAATCCCTTATTTGGAGCATTTTATCACAAGGCTTCTGTTGTAGGTGCTGGACTAGACACAGAAGAACTCCAAACATCCCTGCTTCCTCTTTTCTCTCTGCTTCCAATACAAAAGTTGTTTTGAAATACATATTTTGAAATACATATTCTGGCACTGGTATTTGAGGGCAGGCTTAACCCATCTCTACAATGGTCTTAGTCCAAAAACTGTACAGAAAAGCACATCCCAGGCTTGGAACAGGAACTTTCATGTGAACTTGATCTACATTTCTTTTCCCAGTCTCTCGTGGAATCACTGGAACACACACAACATCCACGCCACAGAATTTATTGTATTAGGTTGGGTTAACACAGCTGTTCCCAACTGGCACTTGAGGTCTGTATCTTCCTTCCGTCATGTGGCAGACAAGCTCATATATTCCATACCAGGGTTTTCAGGGTTTTTACACATCTCCAACAGATACCATTCTAAATGAAAAGCTCTCTGAAACACACAAATTCTTAAGGACACATGTCTGCCTCAGAACAACACTAAATGTGTATCAAAATGGAAAGGATCTGTGTAGAAAGCTATCCAAAACTCACGTGTGACTTTTCATTAGTGTGGCTTTTCACAATGAGAGAGATTAAAATCAGCTTGCCCTTATTCCAGAGCAACTGCTAGTGTTCACTGAAGGAATACATGGTCCAAGAAAACTAAAATATAAGGACATCTATTATTAAAAACTAAACTCCTAATGTGTCTTAGTGCAAAAACACAACCTTAATATTCATGAATATTTCTGAAATCAGTAGTGAAAGAAACTTAGATGAAACACAAACATAACTTGCTGGTATTGAGCTAGAGATCAACTTGACATAGATGGCCAGGAATATGTCTATTAAAGTGAAGTGATGCTTCAAATTTATTTAGTACCTGCGTGGGTGGCCACAAAGCGTGCCTACATGTGTGTGTTCACACACAACCATGAGCCAGTTTGTCAGAAAATCCCTTTTTTCTCCACTAAACCTCAGGTAAACCCTTTGGGAATTAAGGGACCATGTTCCTACACACAAGCTCTTACCCAAGGTCAAGGACTGCTCATCACTTTCTCCATTCCATCTCCAGCTGCCTGAGTCCCAAGGTGATATGGCAAATATCCTTGTAGATTATCTGTTAGGAATAAGGAGAAATTAGCTCACTGTTAAGTTGCCCCAGAACTTCCGACATGCATTTAGAATTTCCCCCAGTGTGCAACCATCTCAGCAATCCTGCTACAGTCTACAATGTCGTGGTGTACAAGCCAGTTGAAAACGCTGACACTGATGTTATACGCCATGCTCCTTGGATCTTCACTCATATAACCCTGAAGCCACTTAATTGGAGAGGAACAATATGCTCTATAGCCTAAGGGATGAGAATGCAAAACAGAGCCGGATCAAATCACCAGTTACCTGTCACCCATGTCAAATATCCAGTCTCTGAGTAACATCTCACCATTGATGTTAGCTTGATATTCCTTAACAATCACTGTGTTAGAGAAGTAAGGATTGCTGCAGAAGAACAAGCTGATCTTGAAGCGATACCTGGGATGCTTGAGTTTGACCACCTGTCAGGATAAGATGGAGCATGCTGATTTTTCACCAGTGAGCCTCCTTTCAACTGTTCTAAACTATTGTTACTCACAGTGCCTTCTGCATAAGACTAGGCTGAGGCTCAAGGAACTGACCTATAGGTTGGTCATGTAGCTAAGGATGTCTTTGAGATATCTGGAAATGGTTCAAAAACTACATATCAAGGATCTTGCACAAGAAAAACTCTGTGAGCTTGTGTGTGCGTGTTTCTGTGCAAGAGAGCCAAAAGCAAGGTCAAAATGGAAAGAACAGGCAGTGCAAAGGAGAAATCTTTTTTTGTTGGATGCGCCTTAAAATATTGTTACATACATCTTCTGTCTTCCAAGACTTGTCCGGATATTTATTTTTCACAGCTCATAGGAAATAAAGGAAGAGCAAGTGTCACAGTCTCAGGGCTGTTTAAACATACAACAGAATCATCAATATCGAACTTGAGTCCCATCATGTGGGACTAGAATTCAGACCTACACATTGCACAGCTGGGTTATTAATATTACTGAATCACAATGTCCCAATACATCCTCAAATAATAGCTCCTGCTACATGTTAATCTTTAAGTGGTGGACAAAAGGAGGGCCTCTGTCCTCAGTATAGTGAGAGCCCTGATCCTTGTGAGCTAAGGATGAACTGCCATCGAGCACTTCATACCTCTGTGTGCCACAGGTTCTTACTGGCAACCTGGCAGCAATGGCAAAGACAAGAATCCCGTTTCTCTGGCAGGATCCACTCTGAGCTGGTGCTTCCTTTGAGAGCCACCTCAGGCATCACAGTTATTGGCAGTAGTCTTTCAACCAGTTGTCAGTGACTGGGCTGGAGAATGGTTCTGTTACCTGAAAGTCTCCAACACAGGCAAGACTGTGCTTTCAAAGAACCTTCCTTCCAAGTTGGAGGAATACCTTGACAATTGGTGGACTTATACATAACAGTGTAGGTTCAGTCAACATGCCCTCCAGGCCTCCCTAGAGTGTTTTAAAGTGCTGTGGAGGAAATTCATTTTCCTCACAATAGACACTTTTTCATGGTGATGCATTTCCTCAATGCTAACTAGGTAAATGGCTACACTCGCGACTGTGACTCAGCACATGAAAGAGCACAACTTTAGAGCAGAAGCCAGGGATGTTGGGGATGATCATCCCTCTGTGTTCCATTAGTATATTGTGTCTCTGCTTCATTCAGCTTCTTTTTTTTTTTAATTTAATACCTTTTTTTTTAAATTTAATCGCTTTTTTTCTTTTTTCCTATGTTTTTAATTGTTAATAACATTTTATCATGTGATACAGTTTTCTAGGCACTGGGATTCCCCCACCCCTGCCAGAACCCTCCCCCCATGGTGGATTCCTCCACCTTTTTGCATTACCACAGTTCAAGTTCATTTGAGATTCCTTCATTGCAAGCATATACCTAGCATAGAGTCCAGCATCTTATTGTCCTGATAAGATAAGCAGCTTCTGTGGTAGACCTTCTCTGGTCTAAAGGTAGAGCTAACAGAGTAAAGGCTTGGTCAGTTAAAAGCCTCAACAAAACATCAGTATACAATGTTATGGAATTAATTGACATATTATTGAGTAAATAATATATTAAAAATAATGCAAGTTCAATTGTTCGAAACACATGTGTTGAGACAGTATCAATGACAGGTTCAAAAACAAGCAAACAAACCAACCAAAAATATCAGGTTAAATTAAGGCAAGCATGTGGTATCTAACCTTTTGGGATTCACTCATTTTGCCTTAGCATTTTAGTTTCCAGTTGTGCCCATTTAGCCACAAAGAGCTGCATTTTGATTTTTTTACTAGCTGAGTAGTATTCCATGGAGTAGATGAACCAAAGCTTTCTTATCCAGTCTTCTGCTGATGGGCAATTCATGTTTTGGCAATTACTGATTGTGCTGCTATGAACATAGGGGTGCATGTAGGTTTGTCATGAAACAGGTGTTTTGGGTATATTCCTAGGAGTGCTATTGCTGGATCATATTGTATGCAGATTTTGAGTTTTTTAGGTGTTCTCCATACTGATTTCCATAAAGGTACCAACCTGCAGCCCCACGAGCAGAGGAGTAGGGTTCCCTTTTCCCCACATCCTCGCCAACAAGTATCGTTGGTGTTCTTTTTTATATGGACCAATCTTACTAGTGTTAGGTGGTATCTCATCGATGTCTTAATTTGCATTTCCCTTATTGCCAGGAACTGGAGCATTTTTTCATATGTTTGTTTGTGCTTGTTCCTTTGTGAAAACTTTGCCCATTTCTCATGCCCATTTCTTGAGTGGCTTGTTTGTTTTGGTGTTTTGGTTGTTTTGGAGTTCTTTTCATATTCTGGAGATTAGCCCTTTATCCACTACATAGTGCTCAAAGATCTTCTCCCATTCTGTGGGTTGCTTTTATACTTTGCTGATTGTTTTCCTTGCTGCACAGAAGCTTCTTAGTTTGATGGGGACCCATTTGTTTATTTGTTTATTCTGTTCTTAACTGCTATTGCTTTTGGTGTCCCTCTTAGAAAGTCAGGACCTACTCCTAGGTCTTGCAGGGTGTTTCCTACATTTTCTTGCAAGAGTTTGAAGGTTTCTGGATGAAGGTTTAATTCTTTTATCCATGTAGATTGGATCTTAGTGTATGGTGATAGATGCAGATCTATCGTTTTGTTTCTGCAGGCTATCAGCCAGTTTTCCCAACAACATTTACTGAAGAGGCCTTCCCATTTGTTTACACTGTCATTGGTCTTTTTGTTAAAGATTATTTGGCTGTATCTGTGTTGGCTCCATTTTGGTGTTTCTATTCTGTCCCATTGATCTTCCTCTCTATTTTTGTGCCAGTGCCAGGCTGTTTTGATAACCACTGCTCTATAGTATGACCAGAGGTCCGGAACTGTGATCCCCCATGCTAACTTCTTGCTCTTTAGGATGGTTCTACAAGTTCATGTTTTTTTGTGTTTCCAGGTGAACTTTTGAATCATTGTGTCCAGTTCCATAAAGAATGTTTTGAGCAATTTGATTGGAATTGCGTTGAAAATGTATATTGCTTGTGGTAGTATAGACATTTTAATGATATTGATTTTACCTATCCAGGAGCATGGGAAGTTATTCCATCTTTTGAGGTCTTGTTTAATTTCTTTTTTGAGTAGTTTGTAGTTTTCTTCGAAAAGGTCCCCTACACTTTTGGTTAGATTTATTCCCACATACTTCTTACTTTCCTCTGATATTTTGAATGATATCCTGTTGGTTATACCATTTTCCATTTTGGGGCTGTTTGCATACAATATGGTTGTTGATTTTTGTTCATTAATTTTGTACCCTGCCACTCTGTCAAACTCTCATATAATAGTTCTAGCAGTTTCTGTATTGAGTCTCCTGGTTTTTCTATGAACAGGATCATGTCATGTGCATATAATGAAAGCTTGACTTCTTCGTTTCTGATTTCTTTTTCTCATCTTATGGCCTCTGCAAGCACCTCTAGGACTATTTTGAATAGCAGTAGAGATAGCAGGCATCCTTGTCTTGTTCCAGATCTCAGTGGGAAGGTTTCTAGCTTTTCTCCATTCGGCATGATACTGGCGTTGGGTTTTTCATAAATTGCTTTGATTATGTTGTGGATTGTTCCTTCTATGCATACCTTGGTTAGCATTTTTAGCATGAAGAGGAGTTGGATTTTGCCTAAAGCTTTTTCTGCGTCTATTGATACTATCATGTGGTTCTTGTTTTACACTTTTTGGATGTGGTGTATCACATTTATGGATTTCTGATTGTTGAACCATTCCTGCATTCCAGGGATGAATCCTACTTGATCCGGATGAATGATCTGTCTGATGATTTTTTGAATTCTATTGGTGAGGATTTTGTTGAGAATTTTAGCATCAATGTTCATCAGAGAGAAAAGTCTGTAGTTTTCCTTCTCTGATGGTTCTCTATCCGGTTTGGGTGTTAAGGTAATGTTGGCTTCATAGAATGAATTTGGAAGGGTTGCTTCCTTTTCTATTTTTTGAAGAGTTTGTAGAGGATTGGGGTTAGCTCTGTTCGGAATGTTTTGTATAATTCTGTAGTGAAACCGTCTGAGCCTGGGCTTTTCTTTGTTGGGAGATTGTTGATGACTGCTTCAATCTCTGCCTCAGTTATGGGTTTATTTAATTCTGTTGCCTCTGAACTACGTTTTGGTAAGTGGTGGAAGTCAAAGAATTTTTCCATTTTGTGGTGATCCTCAAATGTATTGGAGTTCAGTTCTTTGTAGTAATTTCTAATGATTTTCTTAATGATCACAGTGTCTGTTCTTATGTTGCATTTTTCATCTATAATGCCGTTGATTTTCTCTCTCTCTCTCTCTCTCTCTCTTTTTTTTTTTTATAAGTCAGTTGGGCCCGTGGAGTGTTTTTTATTTTGTTTAGCATCTCAAAAAACCAACTTTTTGATTTGTTGATTTTATGTATTTTTTAAAAATTTTATTGGATTTATCTCCTCCCTTGTTTTGATGATTTCTTGTTTCCTATTGTGTGTGGGGCTCTTCTGCTGCTGTTGTTCCAATTCCTGGATTTGTGTGCTTAATTCCTGTATTTGGCACCTTTCTTGGGCCTTGACATGGGCTCCAATTGTAATGATATTACCTCGTAGCACTGCTTTGACATTGTCCCACAAGTTTTGGAATGTTGTATTGGAGTTTTCATTGGTTTCCATACATTTTTTTATCTCATCTTTAATTTCTTCTCTGATCCATTGCTCATTTAATAGCATACTGTTCATGTTCCAAGAGTGTCTATATTTCATGGTGTGTTTTGCATTGTTGATTTCCAGTCTCATTCCATGGTGGTCTCAGAGGTATGATTCTAATCTTCTGGAAGTTATTTAGATTTGCTTTGTGCCCTATCATATGGTCGATTCTGGAGAAGGTGCCATGCACCGCTGAGAAAAATGTGTAGTCTGTAGCCTTAGGATAAAAAGTTCTATATATGTCTACTAAATCCAGTTGTTCTTTTGTTTGTGTGAGCTCTGTTGTTTCTGTGTTGAGTTTTTGTTTCATCTATCTGCCCATTGGTGTTCAAGGTGTGTTGAGATCATGCACAAATATTGTGTGCATATCTATGTCTCCCCTTAAATCTGTAAGTAATTGCTTCACTTAATGAGGTGCATTGGAAATTGGTGCATAAATGTTAAAAATGCTGATTGCTTCTTGATGGATCATTCTTTCACCAATATAAAATGGCCTTTCCTGTCTCTTTTGATGTTAGTTGAAGTCTATCTCATCTGAAATTATGACAGCTACCCCAGCTTTTTTTTCTCTTCCATTAGCACGAAATATCTTTTTCCATCCCTTCACTTTCAGTTTGTTTGCATCTTTTCTGGTTAGATGTGTTTCTTGTAGGCAAAAGATAGTTGGGTCTTGTTTGATGATCCATTCCATTAATCTCTGTCTTTGGTTGGTGAGTTTAGACCATTTGTGTTAAGAGTTAAAATTGAGAGGTTGTGATTTTCCCTGCCATGAGAGTGTGTTTTGTGTGTGTTGTTGTCTGTGTAATTGCCATTCCTTGTGTGTTCTTTAGTTTGTAAACCTTCCTGCTTGCCATCTTTGCTCATGGTTTGCCTCCTTTTTTCCTGCAATTAGCACATTTCTGAGGAGATTTTGCAGAGCTGGTTTTGTGTTGGCATATTCTTCTAGTTTTTCTTTGCTATGAAAGTATCTGATTTCGTCCTCATATACAAATGAGATCATTGCTGGGTACGTTATTCTTGGTTGACAGTTGTTTTGCTTCAGGATTTGGAAAATCTTTGCCCATTCTCTCTGGCTTGTAGAGTCTCTTCAGAGTAGTCAACAGTGATTCTGATTGGTTTTCCCCTGTATGTGATTTTTTTCTCTGCTTTGTACTTGTCTCAGGATTCTTTCTTTGTCTTTGTTGGAGTAGAACTTGAGCACCATGTGTCTGGGTGAAGATCTCTTTGGATCTTGTCTGTTGGGAGTTCTCTGTCCATTTGGTATGTGGGTTGGATTCATGTTCCAAGTGTTTTGGAAGTTTTCCTGTATAATTTCATCGAGCACCATTTGCATTCCTGACTCTCTTTCCACTCTTTCGGGAAGGCCCATGATCTGAATATTCGATTTTCTGAGGTGATCTTTCACTTCTTGTATCATTTTATTAGCTTTGCTGAGGTTTATCTCCAGCTGTTTAACGAGCTGGGTATCTTCATTATGTGTCTCTTCCATTTCAGAGATCCTTTCTTCTGCTGTATTTATTGTTGGTCATACTTTCAACCTTGGTTTCCAGGTCATGAATTTTGTTTTTGACTTGTATTTGTGTGACTATGTGGTTTTTGAAGTCTTCCCACTTCTCATTGTCTCTGATGAGTTTTATCATTAATTTTTAAAATTCCTTGTCTGGTAAAGCTTCCATGTCTTCATCTCACATCTCCAAACTAGATGTTGGCTTTTATTCTTTTTTTGGTGGGGTGCTCACTCTCTCATCTGAGTCATTGCTTTTTCTGTTGCTTTTCCCCATTGTGTTTTTTTTTTTTTTTTTTTTTAATGTTCTGAGCGGGTTGTTGTGTTCCCTGCTTATTCTCTCTAGATTCCTTCCAAGTTGTGTGATCCTTCTTGGTTGCTCGGTGTTCAGGGACACTTCAAGCACTCTTCTCTGCAGGTTTCTAGTCTGCTGCTCCTCCCTCAGCTATCTTTTGTCCCTCTTTTACCACATCCTACTCATGCCTGTCCTTCTCGGTCGGCCTTCTTCTATTTTCTCGGTTAGGTATTGTCTTATGTGTGCCAACAGGGATAGAGTGTGGATGAGAGACTTTGTAGCCTTGGACTTCTTGTCTTTGCCCTGCGCAGATATAAAGCATGTGGTTCCACACCCTGCTACACTCTCACAAATGTGCTCCCCTGTTGGGAAACACGCTGCTGTGGCCCACTAGCCTGCATCTCCACCCAGGTCAGCAGGCTGTGTTGAGCCATGCCCTGCCTGTTGGGGTTGGAGCTGAGCACAGCAGGGGGTTCTGCCCCAGTCCCCAGCCACCTGCTGCTCTTTCTGACCCTGAGTTGGGTCAGAAGGCTCTGGGGGCAGGCCCTAGTGTGAGGCTACTCTACCTGTGACACTTTCTCAAAGGTG